AGGGTATTCAAAGTATGGATTCTTGGAAATTTCCAGAATGTGTTTCTATCAGAGACTGCTAGAGAGACCCTAATTATCAGTAGCTATTCCCAAATGATTTAAACCATTTGCCAATCGGGAGACCGGAGTTTGAGATAAAGGAATACAAGTTTGAGCTGAAGGGGGGTCAATGAAAATCGCATTGAAATCTGTTTGCTCACTTGCAGCAGTGTGGGGAGGAGGATCTCTTCCAAATACAGATGAAATCGCAGAACTTTCAGGTTCATCAGGCCAAGGATTCATCTTCAGACTCTGTTTCGGAATCGGAATATAATGAAGTAAGAGCAGTTAAAGGAGGACTAGTGTAATAAACTTTGCAATGTAAATATAATCTCTCGTAATCTTCTAAATGTAAATGGAATTCAAGAGATGATTGAAAGGAGGGTGTGAAATTATCTAAGAAAGGATTTTCTTCTGGGTAATTGACGAAAGGTGATTCTTCAAGGAGTGATAACACTTGAAAAGAATCGTCTTCCGTGATATAAAAGGGAAGTTCTTCAAAAGATTTCAATAATCCGTCTGAAAAATTTAAGCTAGAGTGAATGTGTAAATATAAGTAAGCGTGATAAATTGAGATTGTTGTGAACATAAACAAAAAAATGTTATTAAAAAAGTTGATCTAAGTGATTGAGAAAGTAAAAACGATAAAAAAAAAGGAAAGGATTATTAAAAGTGATCTAAATGACCTGAAGAAATGTAGATGATGAAAAAAAAAAAATTTTAGATAATCTAAAAATAAAGATCAGAATAAAAATGTGATGACTGGGGATGTAGCTGAATTTCTCTTATCGGAGAAGTTCTACGGTTCGGCTTTTCAGCAAATTCTTTTGGAAACGGTTTTTATCTCAGATTGGAGACACGAAAACAAGAAAGAAGATTAAGATAATAATTATTCTGATGAAGAGAAAAGCGAACAATTTGGTACAAGAGGTATTATATATATAGTAATAATAAACAAATCCAGGTACCAATGTATATCTCTACAACTTGTTCCTTAATTGAAAATCGTTCCTTAGTTGTTATCTTCATAACCTACTAGCATCTAGCAGTTCATGACACAGAAGCTTTGATAAGTCCAAAGATGATCACTCAACATGAAGCAGGAATAAAAAGTCTTGGAATGAAACAATCAATATGACTTTTTGATGATCAAGGATGAGGCCTATGAGTATTTCATTGAGACTAACAACCATGAAAAAATGATTTTAAATGGACTTGTTTATGTCCGATATCAATGAATCAAATAATCTATAAGTAAATCTTGTCTTCAACCTTGTCTTGCACAAACAATGGAAAATTAAAACTGAATATGGTTTTGATGGATAGAAGATGAGGGAGACAAAGGGCAAATGAGAAGAAACAAGTGATTTGTACTCAATTCACTCATGAATAACCTCAAATAACTCATAGATCGGTTTTACCAAATGGGAAAATCGCGGTAAACTCGTCAACAATTGTATGTATGCGACCTTTGACGAGTTTTACCAAATGTCTTCACAAAATAAATTTTATACATACACACACAGTGAGAAATTTTCTCACCGTGATACAAAAGTCGCATATGTACACCACGGGGCGGGTGGCACGTGACGCTCACGTGAATTTTGACTCTGCCAATAAAACACATGGTGTCTACATTGTCATACCCGATGTGAGTTACACGTGCCAGCCGGCGTGAGCTTCACCCAATCTGACCCCTATCATAACAAGGTGAGGATCTCACATCAAAACCAGGTGAAATGACTCACACAGCGACAAGGTGATTTATCTGACGTGACAAGTGTGTAAGCTTGATCACCCAATGACAGGTCAAGTGAGTCCCCTCAGTGCTCATTGGGCATTATTTTGTCTTGATAGCCAGCCCACTCAAATTGGGCTCGGCGTTTTTTTTGCTGACAGAATTTTGCATACCATAGTTCATCTACTATTTGCATTGACAAATACACTTGAACACTAAGTACATACATATATCAAGCTAATAGGAAGGATGAAATTGGGAGAGTACAGCTGGAAAATAGAGAGAGAAAGAATAAAACAAAATAAAATAGATCTCAAGGTGATGGGGATCTTTGTATTGAAGGAGATAAAGATATGACTAAACGTGAGACCTGAAGCTGAATAGATGTATGTATTACTTACTTATGATATGGACATGCGATTGAGCCAGCAATCGAGCAATCTGTGGACAAGATAAAGTCGGATAAAAAGGGAGACTCAGATAAAAATCAGTTACAAGAGATCAGTTGATTTGAAACATGAAGCCAAGAAGTTTAAGAACAGTAACGTCTCACTTGATCTATTAAGTTTTTGTACATTGTTACTTTGAATGGAAAGAGCTCGTCTCGAGTGTATCCATTCTGTTAAATGATTTTTGTTTGTTCTGCAATAGTCGATTTTCCCGATTTTCCTGATGCCATAGAATTGAAAAAGAGTGGTGAAGGTTGATTAATTTATTGGACTCTGAATCGAGTGAATGTTTATTGAACTTTAGAAGAATCGCCTTTGAAGTAGTATGGTAATTGAATTTTGTATTTGCATTCTTCTTAATCTATTCTTCACAACTTTTGATTCGATTTTGTAAGAAAAGATTCAATTGATCAAGATCAAGAAAAACAAACAAACCTAGTAAAAGAGCTTTACATCCCCATTAAACTTTGTTACATCTTGTCTCAAAGGTGATCAAGTACGACCGATCAAACAAAGGATTTTTTCAAAGCTGTCAATCTGTGGATCATCAAAGTACAGTGAAATGAACACAAAGAAGAAAATAGTAAGGACTGAGTATGATCAAATATCAAAATAAGTCTTCAAAGAAGAGAAAAGAGGGAAACTTACCATAACAGAAAATTGATATTGTTAAAGGACAATAAAGGGTGATGATGAATTGGATAGGATCGATTAACAAAATCAGTCAAGATTGATGTGAAGGACAGACAAACTTGCCATGATGTTAACGAGTTTGTTCTTGTGATCTGTTACATTAATGTGATGCAGTTGATGAACCTTGCTATTGAGGATGAGAGAGTGAGATTTCTTGTGATTGATCGAAGTGGTGACGTTTGGGTGGGTCGTGTGCGGAACGATGGTGGTCAGCGAGGGTCAGTGGAATTCAGAGAAGTGAAAACCGGTGACGTCACTGTCCCTCAAAAAAATAAAAAACCACAAAATCGTAAAGTACAAATATCGCTGGGCTCTCAAGAATTTGAGGTATCGAAGCTGATTGAGCACCTGGCTGACAGGCCTCGCTCACACGCATCAGCTCACCTGCTAATAGGCTGGTCCATCACATTACGTAACGTGATCTCGCTGCTCACAGCGAGCTCATGTGTAGAACGGGTGACAAGCTTGGGTGAGGGCCACGTAGCCGCACTCACGCTGCTTTCACCTGTTCTACACAACCACTTGGCGTGATCATACCCAACTGGCATTTCACGTGGTCCCAGTTCAAAGTTGCCCCGTGGTGTAACTTTATGCAACTTTTGTTACCAAAGGGGGTGTACAAGACAGGCAACTATATACTTAACCTGCTACACACATGTAGTGTCGGTGTTATGGCTCAGGTGTGCAGTGATGGATCTTTTTATGACAAACCATACTCCTAATCATTTCCCACTTCCCGCTTGGGGAAGTTGAATGATGTTTACAGTGGCTGGACCTTTTGCACCCTTTTGACAAAATGTGCCAAAAACCGATTCCAACAAAACCAAAAAGCCCAGTTGTGAGCCGGATTTTTCTGATGGCAACATGAGGTATTTAACATTTTAAATAGAAATTTAAATGGACATCACCTCTCAGTATTTTTTCTCATACCTTTTTGACAGTTTATGATTACTGATCTTTGATGTAATAATGTGAACTGCATCAATGCATAATATGAGAATTTACAGAAAGAGAGAAAACTCCTCATACCCAGCTCAAAGATCAACAATTAGATAACACCCCAACTAATCACAAGACAAATATTGAGAGAAAACATGAAAGAGAAGACATGATTCAGAAAAACAACATAACCGCTGAGTATCCCTCCTCACGCAATTGAGTTGACTGTTGGCCTGTCAGGCCTATGATTTCAATGTGGAACCCTCGCACATCATAAGGTTTATAATAAGTGCAATATTACTAGATGTCATCATCCTCCAGGTGACTCAATTGTTTACCGAAATTTGCTTTTTGCCCCAAATGTTTCGGCTAAAAATTGATTTGAACCGTTGTCGCACTTTTTCTAATTTTCCTTTTTTCGGAAAGAGTGCAATGACTCTACACTCAAAACTCATCCTTTGGGGATTCATCTCATCATTATCTGTCAAAAAATATGAAGCATGCGGTACACTGATACCATATCCATCTTTGGCACTACTGTCGTGTTGAATGAATACATATACTTCGTGAGGTTCTTGTTTAGGTAAGAAGAACCAATTTTGATTTCTATTATAGTCCCATGCTTGAATCGAGTTGTGTAGCCCAGCGACTTTCATTTCGAAATTTTTTCGATCTTCCTTTGAAACCGATCTCCAATCACACAGCGCAAGAGGATTGTCTTCAACCTTTCGAAGCGGCCTCCAAACGTTATACATCACAACATGATGACCTCCTTCTGATAGTTGTTTTCCAAAAATACGTTTCTCTGGGTTGCTTGATTGCAGAAATTCTGTTCGCAGCTGGTGTTTCATGAATTCGGCTCCTTTTGGTGACAAATCTGAGTGAATCATTGAGACTGATTCCTTTTCACGCGGGTTCTTGTGCTGTCTAAACTGTTCTGAATAGGAGATTGCCACCGAAGACCCTGTCCTATATACATAACAGGGCTCAAAAAAACAATCAGCCCTAATGTCTTTCTAGAGGTTTCTTTATAAAATGGATTTCTAATTACGTACAACTTTTGAACAAGTTTAACTGAATCTACTGTCAAGGCAGCTTGATACTTATCGATCAATTCTGTCTTAGTTAGTTCTTCTAAATCCTCCATTCCTTGCATGTGTCTTCCGGAAACATAAGTAAATCCATATGTATTCAAATCTGGTGGTTCCTCCATGTCTCGTAAATTATGGAGAGGAACTTGGTATCTTGTGTTGGCATCCCCTAAATATTCAGTGCCGGCTTTGTTGGGTTTGAAAGATTCAACCACTCCTAAGATCGTTTTGGGACCTAATGATAAAAACAACATCAAAGTATGTTCAAAGTTGGGTTAGTTGTACAGGATGATATGAAGCTGTTTGAAAGATTGGATGAAGACAAACTTTCCACTTCTTGTTCTGAGGTATTTGCACTAGTAATCAAAGTACAATAGATCAGGATGAAGAATATTCCCTTCTGATACAAAGCAGAATACATCTAGATATTCACTTGATTTTTTATAAAAAGAGAGGTGAGTTCTTTGATAAAAAGAATAAAGACCGTAAAGATTTCTAAAGTGCATCATTTCATGTTTAGCAAGGATACTTGCCTCTATTACGCAGCCAGATCGTCGCACCAACACCCACATTGCACCGCAAACAATATTTGAATGCGGTACGATTGTTTTGCGTTATACGGCACTCAAAACCAGCGCAATATGTTTGCGTTACTTTCGCAGCACAAGTATCCCTATGATAGTGATTGTGGTCAAAACGCAACAAAATCTCGACTTGTGTGTTTCAACCGCACTGATGTGCTTGATTGTAACATGAATGATAGAAAATATTGGCTTAGAGCGCCTAGTATGTTGAGGGTGATCTTTTGTAAGTTTTGCGGTGCTTATCGCCAAATTTTGATCATGCGTGTTAAAGTTGGAAACTGCATGAAATTCACTAGGGAATGATTGAATGTCTGCTTCACCAATGATAGATCACTGTGAGTCAACCAGATCTACAGTGGTATGATTTCAGAATGAAATATAATACCTTCCTCATAAATACTGTCCAAAAGATTATCCATCACCTCTAAATGCCTGCTCCAAGTTCCTTGAAAGACAAATCAATACCCTTTTGAAGTCTTCAAACAACAATGATGAGCAGCAGGATCATGCCCAATTGGTCTTCCACTGCCTCTTAAAAAGGCTTCATCCACCTCCTTCATGTCCTCATACTTGTATACACATAGAACAAGACCATGTTGCTTGTGGTCAACAACTTACAACAAGTACTTCACACCTAATGCGAGATTTAAATCAAATTTTGAATGTCTAATTCAAATGAGAGAAGATCTATGAATGAGAATTCTTCATGATCTGCAATTAAATAACTTGTTTTGGGTTCAAAAACCGGTTGTGTGTAAATTGATGGGTCTCACAGTGTGACTGAAGGTAGTTTGTGCTTTAAAACCCTTGGGATTCCAGCAGATGCAACCAATGGCTATGTTGGAATTGGCAAGACACAAGCCATCCTGTGTCAGCTCTTCATGAATCATATAAACACAATATATGTCACTTATTCTTCCTGACCACCAAATCATGAGGAGCTCACTTGAATCATGAAAGAATACAAGTTACCTAGTCTTCATGGATGTAAGGGGAGTCTGGATGGGATGCACTGGGCTTGCATGAACTGCCTGCTTAGATTGAGTGGGCACTTTGATGGGAAGGAGCACACACCACAAGTCATCCTTGAAGTGGTTGCATCCAAAGATCTCACAATCTGGCACACATTCTTTGGAACACCACATTCTCTGAATAATATCAACATAGTAAATTGTTTGTTCCTTTTCACCAACTTCGTCAAAGGTGAGTTTATTTCAAGGTCATCTTGGGTTCATGATCTGACAGATGCATCTTCCAGGAAAAAAAGACAAGGTTTGTTTCACGGCCAATGCAAATATCTATAAGTAAGCTTATTATCTAGGCAATGGAATATATCTCAACTGACTGACAATTGTAATTGCTTCATCCTAAGATGAAGCTAGAAAAGACATCAAGCAAGCCTTTGAGCTGACACAAATTTGGTTTGCAATAACTTGGATGCCATTTTGTGTGTGATATTTATTAGACATGCATTCACCAATGATGTGAGGTCTGGTCTTGCACAATATGATCACTCAAGATCAAGGCTCACTTGATCCTATAATCAAGCTGTACACATTTCAAAAAAGGATTTTACCAAAAGTGGTAGATCCAGCAGTACAGGCCACTCTCATGGCATACCTTCAAAACACTATCCCTCTGAGAAATCATGACTCTCATCTTGAGCTCCAGCATAATCTCATGTTGGGCCTCTGGCTGAAGGAAGTGGTTGAATCAGAGTGTAGAATTCAAAAAATTAGTATTAGAGCATATCCAACGGTTCTGAACTGGTAAAAAGCGTACAGGGTCAACTCAAAATGTACAGCAGCCTGTATTCACCCTCAATAAATGAATTTGCTCCAACACGCAAATTATTCAGAGCTTTCCAGGATCATGCCCCTGCCAAAGATGTCACAAACACCAGAGCTAAGCCCACAAGAACAAATGGTCAATTGTACTTTGGTCAATCTTTAACAAATTTACCTTCTTGATGAGGCTAAATCTGGTTATTGTTGGACGCTGTAGAACTAATCACCCAACAAGGGTGATATAGAGCGTGAAGAGGAGTTTTAGTAATAAAAGAATTACTTTCAAAGGTGTCTTGAAGACTACTCTTTCAAAACCCACAATAAAAGGCCTTTATTGAAGGAGTACTGATAAGTAACTTTCAAAGAGAAATATAACCAACTTAATTCACTCAAGAACACATGTCAAAGTATTAATGTATAATGCTCAACACTCAAGCAATTAATTTAAAGGAACAAAAGCACAATTTTATTACTAGCCTCAACACTGCAATAGTGTTATTCCTGTAGATATAAAGAAACAATTATAACAATACTGTAATAAGTATTATTCCCACAAAATTTCAACCCTAAATAAATTTCTCCTATGTAAAGGGACAGATTTAAGTGACCTGGTACTGTTAGTAGTAAATTAATTATGATTTGAATAAAACTAAAACTTGTAAAAGATCAATAAAAAGAGAAAAAGAAGCCCCCCAACAGGCTAATATCCTTCAACATTATATACATTATTTCTTCAACCTATATTGACAGCATTACATCATTCCTCTTCTCACAGATACCACCCTTCTCCAATGTTTTCTAATTCCATCAAATCTTTCTTAATTATCAACCATTCTCTTAGTCCTTAAATCATCTTTGATAAGTCTTATATATACATATTTTGTGTTGATAGTTTGAACTGAAATGAATACTACTTCTTTGAGGTATTATTTACTCCATTCTCAATCATGGAGATCTAGTTATACTACATAAGCTGAGGAATGTGAACCATAAGGTTCACTCAGTTTTGTTTCCTCCAACTATATACCCTCCTTAACATGTTCTACCGCCTTAGTCTACTGTCTCTTCCCTTGAGACCAATAAACCTCTTGGTGTGGTGTGGGGGTAGCCTCGCCAGAAGAGAAACCTAGGATGGATTATAATAACCCATCCTAGAACCCTTCCTGCTTGGCGAGAACAGGCTAGAAGAGAATAGACTTCTCAACCCCCCGGGCGGTGTGCAGGCTTTGAAAATATTTCTGAGAAAGAGAGTTTTCACTGCTACTATCTGGATTGACAGGATTCAGCACAAGGGAGGAATATGGTTGCAAGTAGAGAGGAGAAATTTTTCCTCTCTACTTGTCTTCCAGATTCACGGGTGGAAGGGATGTGATCCCTCCCACATACGTGTAATCCCTTATGATGAACCTGTCACTCACTCTCCACTTCGAGAATGGAATTCAGTGTACCTTTGCAAGCTTTGGAGCACTACCAATATTTGGGAATTTTGGCGGCTTTCAACAATGGCTTAATTTGGGAGAACTAGTGTGCATTTGATTCCCCGAGTCTTGCTGCTCAACTCTATACCCATTAATAATATATTTGGAGCAATAGTTGTGTTGTAAAAGAGTTGTGAAGTTTGAAGAAAATCGCCTTGGAAAGGATTTACAATTGCCAGCCAGTTCAGCCAGATAGGCCGTGGTGTCTTGCTTGTTTCCTACTCGGAGTCGGAGAATGTTCGAAGCTGAAGGGTTGGTTATATCATTCAAGAGAGCCGCTGATCCTGCCCCTGTTTCAGGGTGATGTGAAGCATCTCTGACAGAGATGTCTACATGCTCAGGAGGTAATTCCAGGTTGAGCTTCACAAACTGTGCTGCCTCGTCCTTGGATCATGGATGGCATGATGACGCCACCGATCCTGGGATCGGGTGGGTGCTCTCAGCGGTTTACATTTATGTAATACTGGCAACAAGGACTTTCATATCTTTTCCTATGATTGAGACAGAGCCTTGTACTGCAGACCAATTTTGTCCACTAGTAGAGGTCATAAAGATGAACAGTCGAGTTTGAGTAGTGATCTTATTCTGTGAGTTTACGTGACCTGTCTTTGAAAGCTCAAATCCAGTTCGTGAGAAAAACAATACTTTGGTCAACAGCTTAAAAACCAACCAAACCTCATCAGTTGACTTCACCCGATGGATCAAACAAATCGTGTTCAGAAGATTCATGACTTACAGAAAGAAATCGAGAAGCGAGAGCGCTCTGGGATAACCAAGTCGGTAGCCATTTCCATGCTTCTTGTTTTCCGACTTTGATCTCATTTGGCTGTTGCAACTCGTCTCGCTTTACTATCGTCTAATCGGCGTTCATCCTAGAAAGGAAGCCCAAGAGATCACCGCGTCGCATATTGAAGCCCTTCACGAGGTATGCCTTGCCTCATCTCCCTTCCAACAGACTCTTACTTCGGTAGATTGGTTCTAAGAAACTTCTCGAACTTTTTTCACCGCTTCATGTGATCTATCAGTACAATGCTTGCAAGGTCAGTAGACTTTTCTACATGTAATCGATGACCGTATCGACTGGCATGACCTACTTCAGTCTCATTTAACATATTTTGTTCGAACTGAACTCTGCAGGACTATACCCAAAGGATACTTGCAGCAGTGAGTTGTTGAAGTCAAAGATCTTTCTAGCCTTCTCTCAAACTGTATGAGCGCTAATCAGAGCACAAATTTCTGGCAGATCAGCAGTTTCGAGAATTCAACCTTGAAAGAAACCTATGAACGCTTCGATATTTCGCCTGAAGACTAATTTATTGTGGAGTATAATCTTAAAACACGTGTATTCCAAACACAGTCAACCGCCGAGGCAGAATATTGGAAAGTACAAGATTGGGGTTGAGGAAGATCGAGAAAGGTGTTACTAGGATATTTATTTCGAGATTACCTATACCACGTGAATCTCGGGGCCTATTCTTATTTGCAATCAAACAAAGGTGTTAATTTATCCCATTGAGCGGAGCTCACACTCAAGACATTGCGCGGTAATTTCCTTGATATAATTTTAAGGATAACATCTCGCACCTCTCTGAGATGACCACAAAAGGAATCTGGGAAGAATGGGATCCGGATTGTGTTCCAAAATTGAATGCAGTCTGCACCAAATACTGCCCCAAGAGTGAGGTTGACAATAAACCACATCCCTTCCTCATTGTCAGCAGCTGGAGCATTTGAGAATCTCATGAAGGTTAAATCTTGATGAGTCCCTTCTTGAATACTTGGGCAGTGGTTGAACAGTTTGATGACCCAGATAAGTATGTTGGTGGTGTGAACATGGATTGACTCACCTAGTTTCCTTCAATCCATGATTGTTTTTGTTTTCTCATCAAGGGTACTCAAAGTAAGTATGTGGCACCACATACTTTTAAGTTTCCATATATTTGCTGCTCATAGAAATTTGGGATGCCTTAGGGTGTGTTCACTTAAGCAATTTCTGTCCAGAAATTGGGTGGTTTACCCATAACAAAGGAACAACTTAGGTGGTTTACTTGCGCGCACCACTCACCGCTAATCCAACTCTTGCAAATCCACAATACTTCCTAAGTCATATATCAAATTTAATCTGATATATGTTTCAATACCCCCCACCCACCAGCTAGGAATGAGCCAGCGTTTTGTCAAACAGAAAAAAAATTAAATGTGACAAAAAAGATGCGCCGGCCCGGACCTAGGCTCCCCCAAACAATCTCCATCCTGAGCCTAAGAAATTGGGCCAAGGTCGGGGTTGATTTTTTGTATAGCTTACTAATCTCACAATATATAAAGAGCTTAGAGAATGGAATTGCGTCTGTAAAATTCAAATTGCAAATATGAACAATAGGGGGTTTCAACTTGAGATATTTTTGCATAAAACTTTTACAAAACAGACAATTTTGTATAATTTTATGGTGTCTTTTCTCCTGCAAATATACGGTCAACAGCATTCAGGACACCTGAAAAGGTGCCCCAAATTTTTACATTTACAGCAAATTTAACGGACAAGTTGTTGCACTGTAAAAATACTGTAAAAAATGCAACTTGAAACCCCCTAATACTCTACCAAACCAACCATAATTTTGCAGAATGCAATTTCTGACCAGAAATTTCTGAAGTGAACACGCCCTTGGAGTCATCCTGATTTCATACAATTTATGCCAATATCATGAAAGCAGCAAAACCTCTTTACAGCAAAAGCATCAAAAGTTCTTGAATCAAGCCCCCCCAATTTATAATATTTACACATAACTTACCACAGAAGAAATGTTGTTGTACAGTCAAACCTCTGCACTTTGGTCCTCCAAAATCTAGTATCCTCTGATATACGGTCAAATTTTGGTCTGCAAAGTTGGGTTTGCAGCAGGGACTTTGACTCTGGAATCCAATAATCTCTGATATCTGGTACAAAAGGTGTCCACCAAGCGCACTGGATCTCAGAGGTTTGACTGTAGTATTCAAATATGTTAAAACCTTTAACTTGAACCCTTAGCTGAACAAATGTATATGTGTGTGATGGCACCAGTGGTAGATGGACATGTTTAAGATCAAAAATAATGAAATGAGTTTTTTGACAACAGAAACAATCAGAATACAAAACAGAGAAATCATCCATCTGAAATCATCCCTCTTACACAACCCACTTCTACCCTTGAGGGATTCCAACTAACCACTACCAGAACTTCTCACATAGTATACCTTACGTCTGTTTTCATCTGCAAGACACTTGGTCATTGCAAGCTTGGGTGAAGGGTTAGGATTTGAATACCCCTCACACAATGGCACCATTCCAGAACCATTCCAGAAGTCCAAAAGCTCCCTGTAAGAATCAGACTTGTGTTAAACTAAGCAAAACACCCTAACTGACATTCACCTTACCAATTAGTGTTGGGATACCTTGTTTGTCTCTAGTTGTTACTGCAAGTCCTGCATGACTATCACATGCCATGTGCTGTGTGAAAATTGTGATATAGATGTGTACTCAACAACATGTACAGAATGTGTTATTTCATCTGTCATATTACTATATTACCTGACTGGAGCAGCAAAAGGAAAGGTGTCTTTCCCCACCTTTCCTTTGTATTTTTGTTCTGTTGCTTTGGGTTAGAATTTATTCTCTTTATTTCTCTTGTTGCTCAGGAATTTATTCATTCACAACTGTGTCATCTTCTCTGTCACTCCAGAACCCAAGACTTAGCACCATAATTATCTTTGACAAGCAACACATGAAGTATATCTCAAAAGATTCTACAATGTATCCTTGATGTGGGAAATGGTACTATGAATTTGATCAACCAATTGTTTTGAATGGGATATGGGCTTCAATATGGCCACATACTCTTCACTCATGGAACTTGGGATACATGGATTTTTGTTGCCTTTTGTTTAAATTGTCTTCAAGAAACCATGATGGAGTCATCTCAAGTATAATTTAAAAAGGGCTCTCAACTCAAAGGAATCTATTTGAATTTGCGACTCGCTGTGGTACATATGTGAAACAAATTGAGATCTTCAAAGTCTTTATTGCAGCAAAAAAACACAAATAGGCTCAAATAACTAAAACCAGAAATTAGTAAATAGACAAGAATATTTCAAGAGAAATTGAAGATATAGGAAAGGAATCATTCATACCTACAACACAATCAACACATATATGTACTTGGTGAAAGAAACTAATTCATGTTTAAGGAGATTCTTACTATGTCTAGAAATGAGGAAATATCACTATATAATTTTATGATTTTCTATTTAACCCTATCACACTAAATTACGTCATAGATTAGCTAGGTTGCCAGGAATTAATAACTATCAACAATATTCTTGTCGTGGTGATCTATTTAGGTGTTATAAGGATTTCAGAATATTACGATGAGATGTTTCATAGAATGAAAATAAAATTAATGAGAATAAATGATAAAACTGACAATAAACGAGAAATGAAAAGAGAGGACTTCACAGAACAAACATTATGCAACAGAACAATATGTTCTCCACTCTACGACCTCCTAGTCTTCACCACTCCACATGCCATCTTCCTTTCATATACTCATGTACATCTGCTCGCCTGGGGAATCGATCAGGTGTTTTTATGCCCCGTCCCCGTATTAATTCGCCATCGTCCGAGTAAAAGCTGAAAGGTCCATCATCGCTTATAGGTGACCTGTTCGGAGATGATCTTTCCGAAGGGGGAGGGCTGATGAGCCCATCGATGAGCTCTCTATTCGCGTCAGAGAAGTCAAAATTTATGAATAGTTTTCCATCAACAATCACTGGCTTCTGCTCGATTGCGAGTTTGGCATTTTCATCCTTGTTTTGATGTTTGGTATCAGTGAGAATGTTGTCTCTAGTCATACTTGATGTATCAAATTCCTTCAACTTGTAACTTTTTGAATCGGCTCCCCACGCCAACTTCCTCAACAACTGTTTGATTAGAGTTTTATGAAGGGGTGAGCCTATATACACACGATTGGCAAATAACTGTCTATTAGAATTCCGCCACATATGATCTAGAGGCACATAGAATGGATTCAGACTCTTCTACTCACCTTTTGGTTTCATAAGCCATAGCGGGGACGATTTTGTGTCTGCTGAGGTTTCGAAAAGATGTATATTCAAGGGTTTCTTTGGAGGGTCCATGTTGGATTCGGAATCGTGGGCGAACGGCTTGTAATCGTGTACCAAAAAATTCCCTTGTTCCATTTCTGGTTTTTTAAAGCGCGTACTGCCCCGGTAACATGATTGTACCAGTGATCTTTTGACAAAGTCACGCCGAGTTCCGATCTTCTCCTCAGCTACTCTATGCCAAAGTCCACATTGATTGTTCGGTATAGGTTTTCCATGGGCTTCTTGTGTCAAAAAAATCAAGCATACACATGCGACTATGACTCCAAGCCTAGTGAAGCAGCGTGACAGAGATCTTGATTCAGGTATCATACTAGCACTGGATCTTTACAAAGACTAATTTTGGTTCAAGATTGGAGATGAGCTTTGCTGTCGTCTCTGCCGGGAATCACATCCGAATCAAACACTTACTTCAACTTATTATATAGCTGGTTTCTTCTACGTGTGGCGTCCCAGACAGCTCTTACGTCAAGTAAAAGTGATCTGTGGTACGGTATCACGCAGACTCTAAGGCGGCACTCCGGCAAGAGTCACCCCATGGAACAAACCTCGAAGCATAGATATGGAGTGCGTACGTAAATCCGATCTGATTCGGAGACAACCCTCCAGAGTCCAGTACCAGAGTTGAGCATCTTACGGCATCTTAACTGATGCTCGATCACATCACCCTACTTGTGAGAGTCGCCTGATTTCACCCGCTCTTTCATGACTTGAGTTAAATCATGTTCCGAATTCCGAAGTGACTCATGAGTACGTATACGAAACCCGGTCTTGAGCGGTACAGCGGCGACGCTGAGACTCGGTGAAAGCAAGAGGAGGGGACGAAGTTTGATTTGAAGGTGTTTGGTCTTGCTCGGCCCTGCGGATTCGTCAATTCTTTCCGTCGCCGATGCCTTTAGCCAAGTGATCAGTTTCGAAAAGCTTGAGACGTACCTTTTCCTTAGGCTTACATAACCATGGTGGAGTTGGTGGTTAGCTCCAACCTTAGGGACTTATGAGAAGTTTGCTTACATAACCTCTTCCTTACAACTTCATATCTCTGTACTTCTGGTATCCAACTCCGATACGAACTTATATTTTCCATCTTATCTAGCAGGACAGTAGCCGCAGTGTTGAAATCGAGAGCCTATAAGGTTGCACAGATGCACATATGTAACGTGAACATGACGTCGCCGGCACAGGGGCTCACACTCAAAGAATATTACGCTATCCTTTGACACTCTGGAAAAGAGTCATCTTGCAATCATACAAATCCAAGAGAAAAATTAGACACATTTTTCCAAAGAGTCTACAAAACAATGTTCAAAAAAGATTTTATTCGGAGCTATAAATATTGAGAATAATATGATGGTAAAGAGAGGATTACAACTGTTTGAGTTCGATAGATGTAAAACAGAACAACGGTAAAGAGCGTATTGAATCTTAAATAATGAAATCTTAACAGTGACGTCATAACCATTTCGACACACGTGTAAACAGACTCTATGATGAATAGGAGTGTTCAAACATGAAAACTTCATATTTTGAAAGAGATTTTGAAGCGAAAATCTTTGAACCGTGATTCTCGTACAGAAGAACTGTGATTCTGGTACAGGTATGTATGGATGTATCTCGAGCTCTGGAGTGTGCTCCACTTCAAAATGATAGGGAGGCACATCCATACTCAGTGATACTCCCTTCTGATCATATCTGTACAAGAATCAATGTTCATCTGTACAAAAATCACAGTTCAAAATTCTCGCTTCAAAATCTCTTTCAAAATGTCAAGTTTTCAGCTTTGAACACTCCTAATGTTTTAAACGATACAGGAGCTCTGAATGCATTTATTGAAGTTGTTGAGGAAAAAGTATGATTTGTACCACTGGACTAAGGTGAAAGAGAAAGCCTTCCTCATTGCCGATATGAGATTTGAAGCTTCTCTGAAAGAAACACTAGATTGATTGCAGAAGATACTCTCATATGGCACCTACGTGCGTTAGGAATGGAGAAGGTGATCTTTGTTCTTCGAGCCGGAGTGATCTTCCACCGTCAGGGTGAAAGCTGAAAGTTTCATCATCATTTTCTTCTTCACTTGTGGTTGATCTACTTGACGGGGATGTTCCTTTAGAGGAGAAAATCCTGTCGTGTCGCTGAAAGTACTCCTTATCCACGTTAGAGTTTACCGAGAAATCTTTCTCAACAGCCCCTAACTGATGCGCATATGTTGGTTTGATCACCTGTTTCTTATTTCGATGTTTTTTAATCCTACTCATAAATCTATCTCGAGCCATAAATGGTTTGTCAAAATCCTCCAAGTTGTATTTACAAGAATCGGCTCCACATGCTAACCAACTCAACAACTTTCTGTTGAATCTTCCATTCTCATTTACGCCTACATACACAATCAACCACACCACTACATAAGATTCAAAGATACACATCATTCATTCAAAATGTGATACTTGCCTTCTGGTGACTTTTGTCTCAACCTGCCATCTTTGGTGTCTGGTGTACCTTTCACATTTTCTGTGTTCAAAGTGTTCTTTGAAATCTCAATGTTGGGTTTGTGCGCCAGCGGCTTGATATCGGATACCAGTAGAGCATTTTCTTCCGTTCTTGATTCCTCAACAGGTGTAATGCCCCGGTAGCATTCTTTTAGTAATGATCTTTTGACAAATTCACTGCTTGTCCCGACTTGCTTCTCAGCTACTGTATTCCAAATTCCACGTTGATTTTTAGGTATACCTCTTCCATGCGCATCTTGCGTCAAACGGAGCAAGCACACAAATGTGGCCAGAAGCTCAAGCCTAGTCAAGCAGCGAGAAAGAGCTTTAGGAATCATATATGTACTGTAAAAAAAATGAAGTTTCCGTCCAAGTGTAGTATTTGAATGAGCTTTGCATCTACAAACTAGGAATCGGGATCAGATGGATATCTTTTATAGCCTTATAGCCTTCTTCCCCTACCTACGAGGCTGTGAGATCTCATCCTAGCATTTATACGCCAAGTAAAACTTTTCTGTAGTACATACATATCAGGCTACTTCCAACGCTGCGCGCCGCAAAGAGTAACCGGATGGATGAAGACTCAAAACGTAGAAATCGAATACGTATATCTCATCACGCTGTGAAGTTCACCTTACGCTCAATCATGTGTTGAATGTGTGAGTGTGTTGAGGTTCAATCGATACATTCATTTCCAATCACGTCACTAGAATAACTTTGTAAACCAACTTATCCCAACCAACCTACATATCTATCCTTTATCCGTCTTCTTTTCCTCATCTGCGAAAAGAAGACAGTAAGTTAACCTCTCTTATAATTATGTTTTCCTTTGTTTAAAGCATAATCTAACCTCTAATTCTGTCTAATGAGTTTACGTCAATTTCACTTACACCATACTCCGAGTCTTTGTATCTTTCTTGATCACTTAACACTCAGTTCCAAGACTTTTCACAAAATCCTGTTCTAAATTCCGAAATGTTTCATCAGCACATCAAACCCAGTCTTCTCTCTCTCGATGAAGTCAAAACTCGATGACGTCAAGATTCACTATGATGAGGGATATTATGTAACTTTGTCTCCTCACATGATCAGGTCTCGCTCCGGCCAAAGGGTAGACAAATTCCTTCCGTATCCTTTCGCCGTCTCGCTCCGAGCAGAGGGTGGGCAGAATTCATTCCGGTAGCCTTTCGCCAAGTCAAATTCCGTCAGGGTTTTTCAAAAAGCTCCGTACATACCTGTTCTACTCCGAAGCGCAGGATTGCTTTTCTCCATCAATTGGCAGATACTCCTCACCTGTCCCTCATCCTTCGAAGGGTTAATGTACATTGAGGTAGTTGAAAAAATGTAAGACCCATCCATGATGTAAGGTGTCAACATCTTGCCTATTGATAAACCTGAAAAGACAAAACTCTCACCATTCCAGGCAAAAATCATGGGAGAGCCAAGGTATAAAACTGCATGCTTTTCAAGGATGGTGGCAAATCTAGTACGCATGCTACTGTGCACTTCGATATGGCAAGCTGGGTAATTTGCGGCGAACCCGACGATGTAAAAAGAGGGTCAAACTTTCTGACAAGTGGCAAGTCGCTTCGTCCGTCACGAGCGGATTAAGAAATACATCCTACGCCACTCAGCCGACATTCTCACATTGCAAGTCACTGACACCAAGATAATAGATGCACCGCACGATCACTGATGAGTGCACAAATCAACACAAGGTATATTTTTAATTGATGTCAAATGATGCGATAAGAACCGTCGTTACACTTAAATCCAAACATTAGTGGGTTGAACCACGTGTTCGCCGCGATGTCATGCAGCTAAGCCAACATCGTCGTCTTTTATTTTACGAATCGTAACAATACATGATGCACAAAATGGGATTACTAATCCGGATGGGGGAGCCAGATGATCACTGTGAAGATGATGACAGAAACGAAAAAGCTCAGCAATGTGTGGGGTATATACTATTTGAAATATAGTCTCAAACTCACGTATCGGTAGTGATCGACCTTGTAAGGTCCATCAACGCTAAGACCCAAGTATTCAGCTTGGGCCGTGGACATCGTTGAAAGTTTAACGTTCAACGAAGCCAAGTGAGCACGGGCTACTTCCTCATCCAGAGCCTTTGGTAGCATGTGAACTCCGACAGGGTATTGGCTATTGTCCTTGTCTTGCCATAATGCGATCTGGGCAAGAGTTTGGTTGGCGAAGGAGCAGGACATGACAAATGAAGGGTGACCGTGAGCGCATCCCAAATTGACCAATCGACCCTCAGCAAGGAGGATGATGTGTCGGCCGGAGGGCATAGTGTATCGATCAACTTGAGGTTTGATGTTGCTGACCGACTTGGCAGTCTGCTTTAACCATGCGACATCGACTTCGATGTCAAAGTGTCCGATGCTGTTTGCGAGGCACAATCAGTTAGCACCGGTGAAACAAACGCAGCATAGATTACAAGGACGACTTACTTGCAAACGATAGCATCTTCGGGCATGGCTTCAAAGTGCTTACCGACGATGATATCTCGACATCCGGTGGTGGTGACGAAGATGTTGGCACGGCTGGCGACCTCTTCCATGGTGGTCACTTCATAACCAGCCATGGCGGCTTGAAGAGCGTTGATCGGGTCGATTTCGGTGACGACGACTCGGGCACCGTAGCTGGCCAAACTCTCAGCGCAACCCTTTCCGACATCTCCAAAACCAGCGACGACGGCAACTTTACCAGCAAGCATGACATCGGTGGCTCGTTTGATACCATCCACGAGGGACTCTCGGCATCCATAGTAGTTGTCGAATTTAGACTTGGTGACTGAGTCATTGACGTTGATAGCTGGCACTTTCAATTTGGATTGCTTGTGGAGCTTGTAGAGATGGTGAACACCAGTGGTGGTTTCCTCGGAGACACCACCGATATCTAGAGTAGTCAAGAACGCAGATGGTCAGTACGATGGGTTTAGATCATAAAAGATGAAAATCTACATGTGACTGACCGGCTAGGTATTGAGGGAACTTCTCGTGAACGAGGGAAGTAAGGTCACCACCATCATCGAGGATCATGTTGAGTGGTTTACCATCGGGGAAAGCGGTTAAGCTTTGTTCGATACACCAGAGGTATTCCTCTTCGGTCTCGCCTTTCCAGGCAAAGACGGGTACGCCGGTAGCAGCAATGGCAGCAGCAGCTTGATCTTGGGTAGAGAAGATGTTACATGATGACCATGAGACTTGGGCACCAAGTGCGGTAAGAGTCTCACTGTGACGTGACCAAACACAACGTCAACTTGTGAGAATGAAAAGATGTCTCTTTGGGGGGATTTGCTTACATCAAAACAGCGGTCTGAATGGTCATGTGTAAACAACCAGCAATACGGGCACCCTTGAGAGGCTGAGCGGCGCCGTGCTTCTGACGAAGGTACATAAGACCTGAGCCGAGAAATATCGTTCAGTTTACGAGCTAGATTGTTGAAGGAGAAGCAGTAGAAAAGACTAACCGGGCATCTCATTCTCAGCCAACTCGATTTCCTTTCGACCCCATGCAGCCAAAGAGATCTAAGAAAGAGACGAAAAGATAAGACTAAGGTATCTATCTAATAAGAAGTTCAAAGAGGGTTGAATCGACTCGAGAGTACTTACATCTGCAACCTAGAAGAAAGAAACGGAAAGGTCAACAGAGATGAGGTCAGTAAGTGATGTGAGAGAATCAAGAAAAGAGATCTGAAACAGACTTTGTAAACCATCTTGTTTGATTATGAATTAGGATTTGAGAACTAACAAAAAGGTAGACAAACGAGATATGAAGTGAGATGAAATGAAGTGGTGGTTTGGAAATGGAATGAGTTGATGATGATGAAAGGGTGAAGGAACGATCGATCGACAGTTTTCTGATTTTTAAACTGATCGGGATTGTTGACTTTATGGCTTATCGGTTTAAAGAAAGTAACTGTACATAACCTAAACTTTTAAAACAAAATTTACACACAAATGCATGACACATCTTTATTTGATGTCTGATCAGACTCAGTGCGGAGTTTAAGAATAGATCAAGCAGGATCAAGCCTCCTTCAAAGTTGATCAGGTATGTATCGTAGGCGCTAAAGGCGACCAAAGACCAAATCTTGCACTCTTTAAGCAAAACAAAAGCACTCATTTGTCAACTACTAGAAACTTTTTCTCAATTCATATCTGCATTCATGTCTCACTTCCATAGGAAAGCAAACCGCCTTATGTATGTAGTGATGACATAGCTACAAATCAGGCTTTTAAGGAGCTTGGATCATGATGATTGATGTTCATGTGCATATCAGTATCTCTCTCCTATCGAGAGATCAAGCGCGTGACATCATCCAACAACAAAACAAGGATACTGAGAGAAACAATGTATGGGAGCTTTGTGGCCGAACTCAAAGTGAAAAGTGTCGAGAGACATCAAAGCTTTACCTCGGATGAAGCATCAATTGTAAAAGGTGATCTTGAGTTGTTTAATGTTGATGTTCATGCACCAGGACTTGTTTTGGTGCAATCCAAAACATCTGAAGAGTGTGAGCAGAGCATTCCTGATATTATAATCGACTTCAGAGGTACGTTTTGATGCTCAAACTAGAAGAATACTCGGATCAAAGATCTAAACAAGAACCCAGCACAAGTGACTTGATAAACTAGAGGGAATGGGTTTGTCTCGGGTTGCGCAAGGTGCAGTGACGTCTACCGAAGCGGGCCTGGGCCCGGAATTTATTCCCCCATGAACATGAAACAACTAAAGAGAAATAAGACAGAAAGACCAAACATGTGGGAGGTCAAATATTTCTACATTTTGTGGGAGTAACTGAAGGGTTGACCAAATTCGGAGCGCGAGCAGAGCAAGAGCAGAGTCCGAGCAAGCTCGCAGGCCTGTATATTCCAATAACCTCTTTCGTCCATAAACTTCCCACATAACTCCAATTCCATCCTGTCACATAGTGTCCATGTCCAAGGACAATATCTCACTCATTGACCTTACATCTTCATCGGCGCACGGTACGGTAGTGGCATGAGGGCAAGCGGGCACCTGGAAGTAACATGTAAGTATACTCCTCTATTGAAAGACTTTCAATATCTCTTTGTTTTTCTCGCTGATATTCAACTTGAATAATTTTCCCGTTTATGTATATCATTGACCCCATCCAACCATCTCGGCCCCTTCCATACCCCAATCAGAACCAACGTTTGCAAACGCAAACGGGATTGGCTTGCTCTTCCGAGAGGTGCCGGAGCCAGAATCGCCGTCGCCACTCAACAATCTACTACACACCACAGCACCTGCACTTAAAAAAGTATGTACACGTACATACTTACTTTGAGTACCCTTAATCAACAAGCTAATACACCATATATTTTAAGTGTCCGTACGATCGAAGTCATTTGCGCACCTATACAGCTACACGTTTTGAAGCGTCATTGCTGAGGCACAACACATCCATCACCGTGGACATGTCCCTCAACAGGATCCTCAACGACTCTCACATTCCACCAACACCTGTCAGCCAAACACCCGCCGGTTCCGCCGCTCCACCTTTGCAATTGACTCCTAGTCATTTCACCGCGGCTCCTACAGATCCTACTGAGTGTTTTGGGCGTTTAGGCCAAAAGGCTAAAGGCCATCAACATCGCCGGAATGCTGGATGTCCCAATAATTCCTGCTTTGAGGTAAGTTACTATTTTTGTGGTCATTATATCCATTTCCAATCACATGAACTGACCTTTTACCATAGTGCTGCAAGCAGCTGTACACGGAATGTCAAGGTTGCTCCATTCACACGGCCCAAATGAAGAGCAAAAACAAACCTAAGAAGAAGAAGAAGAGCACGGCGGAAGCAGTAGAAGCAGGTCCGACCCAAGCTGGACGTGTTCCTATTCGGCGTTTGTCTTCGCCTAACATGCTTCAAGTACAAAGTCTTTGCATACGAGATCAGGTCGCCGAGCGTTCTAAACAGACAGATATGAAGTTGTCTGACAAGACGGTGACCATTATTGTATGGCCTGGCCGCAACGTGAGTCACATTTTTCAATGTCATCATCAGAATGGTCAAAAGACGTAAAATTAACCTTCATATCATGTAGCCAAATCAAATAACTCGAACGTGGCGTGTTGTTGCCCCAAATTGGCCTACGTTCTCACTGAACCAATGTGAAGGCCTCAGAAAGTTTGTTGAGAGCGAGCTGCCTCCTCGTTCCGATCTGTTGGTCTGGAACTATGAAATAAAAGGATGGGTACGTGTGTAACACATCAATCAATTAAACAAACATCATGTGCTAACATACGTTGAATTTTTTACCACCCAAATAGGTCGAAAGTCCAATAAGCACAATGGAGACCTATCCCAAAAATTGCCGCAAAGTCTTGGTGGTTTTTCCCGGTCTCGACCCCGATCACTGTCCTGGAATCCAAGACCACCTTCCATCCTCTACTAACAAGAAGATCGAAAAGTTCAACATCCTACCATATCTCTCTACACCTACTCGAAACGATTCTCAGTCTTCACGTCACGTGATTCACCTGGACACAACAGATGACGAAGGTACTCCGTGCGCATCTTCAGTTACACATGGAGGTAATTTGTGTAACAATAATCAGTCCACACCCCAACCAAAGAGTTCAAAACGAGCTCGTGAAACCAGCCCGTGTGACGATGAAGTCAGAACTCCACCAGCTACGCAAGAATTGAGAGCTCCAGCTACGGGCCGAGTCCTCAAAACGCCAAAACATATTGTATGGCCATCAGGCGTGACAATGGGCAAATTGGTGGAATTCTACGAAGCAGCCACCATTCCCCTCAAGATCCCTGACAAGGAAGCTTTCACGCGAATTTTCAGCGACACATACAAATTTAATGCTTCCACCGTCTCAACGTACCGCCGTTGGCTTGAGAAAATCGATATTACGGTCTTACAAGATTATGTACGTGAACGCGGTCAGAGTTCAATTCAAGAGGGTAAAAGGCATTTTGATAAGGCTTGGAGGGCAAGCAAGGGGCAAGAAGAGGCAGCACCCAAGAAGCGAGTGCGAATGTAATTCATTCCAAGCTTGATTTTATCTTGATTGCATTTCTTTATCTAATTTGATCACCCTTAATCATTGCTCCGTATCTAATGTAATGTTTCATTTATATTTATCCTTTAACTTTAATTGTATGTCTTTTCAATTCGTGAATAACCATTTTATCTTTCATTAATCAATTATCGCCTATGCTCAATGATGTGTCAACCGTTATTCTCTAATCTAAGTATCTATCTCCTATCATTTTGAATTTGTACATATAATTGATGTACCGATGATCTTGCAATATGACTTATAATTTGTAAGAGACACCCGAGTGGAACTACAAAATATGGGAACACTACACTAGCCAAACTATCAAAGATGACGAATGATTTGACCTTGTTGCAAAACAATTTGCTAGTTATATTTTACTTTTATAACTCCCTTGGTTTCTAAACATCTTCCTAAACATCTTGAACGCTTCTTCCAAGTAAAACACATCCTTCGTATTCCTTAGCTCTTTCTAAATCATTATGCCTACTACTCGTTCCACTTCTAACAAGCCCACTTCTCCCTCGAGCGATCTGGGACTGACACCATTAAATCTTGACGAAGTTCCTTCCACCGATGCCTCTCTACCGGATTCGGTTTCACCTAGCGATGTGGTAGTTATCAAATCATCAGTAGCATCCATCACCAATAACAAACATGAAGTCCCTTTCGATATGCTACGCAGTGACCTTATGGCTAAAAGCGCCGCTATCCTCTATCGCTTTTCGCCAATCCCTTATGATAACAGCAACTTGACCTATGATCCAGTTGCCCTCAACACCGACAATAAATACAAGAAATCTATTGCTTTATACAGTTGTAGTCCCTTAATTCATCAAGTTGCTCGTGACTCTAGTGATTGGAGTGTCAAGGCTGTGGATATCGAAAGTACCAAAATTCATAATGAGATGGTAGCAAAATATCATCATCATTGGCTTACCTCAGGTAGTCTTGCTCGTGAACATGCACTCGAGCGTGGCCACTCAAACCTATATGTCTGTCATATGTTGCATCATTTTCAAACTACTCTGCAAGATTACTGGCTTCAAAAAGTCAACAAACCTGGATACGGCCTTCAAATCAAACAGGATCGTGCGTTGCATGCACAAAGCCTAGGACTTCAGGTGAGAAAACCTTGTCATTCATATTTTCATGTTTGCTGACTCCGTTCTATTAATCAGGTCCCAATGGCCTGCTTGCTTCAGACTATTGGCCAAAACAACAGTTGTGAATGGCTTATATGTGAGGAAGCCAATCATCCCAAAAACCACGAATACGTGAATGAATACAAATTCACTCAAGATCAGTCGGAGGAAGACCCTTGGGAGAACCTCATCCACGCGTTTATCCACCATACCTACCAACACAGTGGAAAGCAATCTTTGATTACTCAGCTCAATTGTGACATAGGCGGCCAGATGACTAATGTGGTTTGTTTTGCTCGAGGGTGAGTTTTACTAAGCTTGTAACTTTGAACAGCACATTAGCTCAGCTATAATATGTCCGTCAGGTATTCCCACACCTCCTTACCAGGAGTCGACACGGACGAACAGGTTGAGCTGGCATTCATTCAATTCGAGTCTCAACATGATTGCAACTATATCTGCGACATGGTTGATCTGACCAAGTTTACGAGAGGCTCTGGTAGTAGCTGGGAGTAGTACGGTACTCAATGTGGTCATGTTCCTATATTATACAATCAGATGACTCGATAGATGTTGAACTTTTTTTTCAGTTATGATTTCCGCTTATTTTGTGATCGATTTACTTGCTACTATCTACTTGCTGTTTACGAGAGTCTGATTTGATAGAGTTTGATAATTTGTTTGGCTACGAATCTTTGTGATCAATTTCTTTGCTAAAATTGTTATGTTCGGTCATCTCACCTTTATGGATTTGAGGTTGAGGGGCCATATTGAAAGTGTGGCGGAAAGTGTGAGGTTGATTGAATTTTCATTTGTATCATCAACATCAATATAAATATTGTAGTTGCCCAGTTGTTACAACCGCAAGTTAAGAATCAGTACGAGAGTGATTGATCAGAGGATTGGAAGAAATGAAATAGTGAACATCACAACACAAAAGTTGCCCACAAAAGTAGTAGTAGAATCAACTATTTAGCGATTACAAGTGTATCAGAGTGATCGAGCAGATCAGAGACCAATTGATCAGAAACTAATGATCATTTACAATAGGAGGTGAGCATCATATGAAAATGAAACATTTAAAACACTTGTAGACTACTTAGGACGACTGAAAAATTAAGAGACAGGCTGAGTGTGATCGGAACATATCAACTATTGAGCTATTACAAGAATATCATAGTGATCGAACAGATCTGAAGTCAATCAAGCGGGAACTATTGAATGATCATTTACAATAGTACCTGAGCAAGCATCAAATGAAATTGAAAAATTTAAACTTGAATCACTAGTAGAGTATGACTGTGATTGAGGTGGTTGGTTTGGTTGGAAGGGGGAGCGATGAAAGTTTGATGGAGGGTTGAGTATACAAACAGAACGAGTGATTTAATGAAGAAAACTACAGATCACATGTGGTATAGTCCAAGTTGCCACAGAACTGCACTTTGGGACGTAATCGTATCTTCTCCTCAAGACGACTGTTGTGGAGTCTTATCATCTCGTCTAAGAAGAAATTGTACTTGATTGAATTCATGTTTTGACATATCGAGTCAAATCGGCCAAACCATGCGTTGACCATTTCCGCAGCAGAGGAATTGAATTTCCAGTTGCCGTCTGGTCGTTTCAAATCTGGAAACAATTGTGGGTCGTTGTTGATGCGACAGGTGGTATGAGAGTCTTTGTGGGATTTGATGTGGAAAGCATCAACAGGTAGAAGTGTGTGACGAAACCTGAAAGTGTCTTCTTCGTTTGTGCGGATATGTGAGTACAGTCCACATGCGTTGTCGTAAAAGATTATTTGCGGCATCTCTTCAGGGAAAACTTCATATATAAACTCCTGTTTGTTGGTGAAGGCATAAATGTTTCACTTATTACAATATGATCAAAGATACATTTGATTAAACCGTGACTCACCTTCACCTTTGTGACTGACTCGGACTTGAAGAAGGTTTTTTGAGCCAGGATCATACCGCATGCCGATACCATCAACTGCTCATTATGTGTTCGCACACGAGATAGGAGTTTGTTTGAGACGGTAACACTCTGACCTCCGTCGCGGGCAGCCTCGTGGTGGCGCTCGTCAATAGAAGAGTACATCAGGTCATTTTTGGTAAGGTGGACCTCGCCAGTGTGAGCTGACATCATCTCGCTAGGGTCAATGGGAAGATGTGCACCTGCTCGGGTGGTCCTTCGTCGCAAGCCAAAGAGAGAATTGTTGCGTTCTTTGAAGGCCAAGTACGCAGCGATGTGATCGGGGTCGTCGCAAGTCTTAGATTCAGAAGATGAGACATGGGCATTACATGGCTGTGCTTGACATATGTCTTTCAATAGCCGTGTATGCAAAGGAAAATATCTGTCTTTGGTCCTCTCAAGGGGTAATTCACAAGCATTTGCTGTCGTATTCGGATCTAGCGCTAACAACTGAGACTCAGTGATACTGCAACACCAGTGTCCTATGGTGATGCCATCAGTCACACAAGCGCGCATGACTTAGATGCAAGAATGACAACTGGTTAGGAAATAAAATAACAAAACGAATATGAAATATGGCTTACTGGTACCCTGGTTTGTACCTGGAATAGGTTTAACTTCAGTACATTCTGAGCATATGTGACTAGCGTGATAGGTACCTTCATACTTAAGCCATTCAAGGTGTTGTTGCATGGCCTCCTTAAAACGTTCGTCATCAACTCCCCCAGTGTCACTCTTCAAACGCAAACCTCTGAGGTTAGTGCATCTCATGAGCCGGTGGAGATCCAGGCCTAAGGAACACACATGGGCGGTCATTTGACGATGGAATCGATTGTCATGGAAATCATTGGGGTATTTGATGTCGACGGCTGAATGAGACTGATTATAAGTGATTACGAGGTTGTTGATAGAAACTCTGTGGGTAACCATCACATCAGAAATTTAATTCTAACACTGTAGGGTACCGTCACTTACACCCCTAGCATCTGCATATGATTGAAGTAATTGGCAAGTCGGTGGCTCATAAAGTAATGTTGGGTTACTTGGTAGTACGAGTTGGGCAGTCCTTCATCGAGTTTGTAGTATTCTCGTCTAGTGTCAGTTCGAACGTAAGTCGGGTAGTATGAGGTGTTACAATCTGAAAATCAAAAGAAATAAAAAGGGTTTTAGTAGGAGATGAAACATTAGTTAGTCGTGTTAGACTTACTACGACAGTATCCTGAGAAATATTGAACAGTCTCAACCCCACCAATGTCAAAAAGATAGGCATAAACTTGCGGTCTGATCCTAAGTACCGTGGTTTCGTTGCTGGTGGCTGGATCGCAGTGAAGGCAGCTGGTATTGGGTGGGTTAAATGTATGCTCAGGAATGATGGCGGCGTCTTCTGGGCGAGTGGAATCTGGTATACCATGTTTTTGAAACAGTGTGGTATCGTAAGCGCATGAGGAGATGCTGTCATGAGTGATGTTCCAAAGCTCAGCCCATGTGTTGCGTGGTTGTTCAGGTTGCAAGCTTTTAGTCAGGAATTCGAGGGGGGCTTCGATAGAAGAGGTACCATACGAGCCATCAGTACGTTGAATGAACTCGCCAGACAGAGCTCCAAACGAGGTTAACTGGCTGAGAGTTAAGGTGTTGTGTATTTGGGGTACACATTCACTGAGTTTAGACATGAGGTCCTTGACAAGGATCATGGCGCCTGATAGGCTGATACGTATAATAGAAAAAAAAAGCAGCTATAAAGAAGATGATTTAACACCAACTGGGTGGGTGTTATGAGGGTTGATTGTTAGAATGAGTAAACGGTGAGGTTATAAACAGATTATCGGTGGTAGGTAGGGTCTCAGTGATACTAAGTTATATCTATGGTAGTGGCTCGTTTGTCTTTTATAGGATATATATGTATCATTCCTCCTTATTCCTCTTATCATCGTGTTGGGGAGTCCTTTGCTGTGGGGTATGTATATACTTCCTTTGGAGTTAGGAAGTATAATATACTTCCTTTGGAGTATAATTTGAGTATTCATAGGTCTATATTATCATGTCACTTCATGTGATTGGGGTAATTGTTATTTGAGGCAAAGGCTCTCTTTTAGGTTAAGTTTGAAGCCACCGGTCTCAAATGCCATGGCGTTGGTCTTGCAGAGCCGGGGTCACTAAAAGGCGTGGATCTCAATGGGCGGGGAGAATGCATGGACCTGCGCCGCATGGTGTGTCATGAAATTTGGGATAGGGGCGTGTGACAGGCAGAAATTTCAAATCTGACTTAATCCGTTTCAAATCTGACCATTTGGACACTTTCACACGACTGCCGCTCTTGCTCTGCTCGCGCTCCGAAGTTGGTCAACCCAGCCGATTCTCCGGATTTTGTTATAAGGGAGCAGGAGGGCGGGTGATTGAAAAATTTCTAGTTTAAATTGACTAGCACTGTACTGTGTATATGAAAGTAGAAGCAAAGAACTTGACTGAACTAACAGTGTACGAGCGGAGATTTAAACTGATAGAGGAAAATAAAAATAGAGAAGATATATTTTTGGATTTTCCGATAATTTTCTGGGACAAACGGAACTGTCGAGAGAGATAGGAAAAAGATAACAAAGGTTTGAGAACCATGATCCGCAGATTGAATCTTTGCGACGATCTTTTGAGAGTTGACAGTCCGCTTCCCGCCTCGACTCTTACTGCTCCTCTTGCCTGCGGGACCCTTTGACTTCTCCCATTCCCCTCAGTCAACTCATAGAGCCAACTCCCAAGGAATGGGTTTGTCTCGGGTTGCGCAAGGTGCAGTGACGTCTACCGAAGCGGGCCTGGGCCCGGAATTTATTCCCCCATGAACATGAAACAACTAAAGAGAAATAAGACAGAAAGACCGAACAACCGCCCTCGTAATGATGAGAGCCGATGATGGTATGTTAAGAGATCTTGATGAGCGACGAAGTCGCATAGGTTGGATGGCTCTTTCCGGTATTAACCCTGGATGAGAGGAGCATCCTGCAACAACGGATGAAATCCTGGTCAGCAATTAGTAGCGCCTAGTTTCCTTTAGGCTTCGGCTTACTAGAGACTGGACCCCCTGCTGCTGGGTATCCGGAACGGAGCTGGTTGTTCGCAATGAAAACACTCCTGGAGACATTTTCGTCAGAACGTTTGCAACACTGTCGAAGACTGTGAGCTCACCTGTTCTGGCAGCATTGGATCACTGGTGCAATCTCGTGACCTTGGCATGATTAGGGCCGATGAACCTGTAATTTTTGAGAAAAGAACATTTTGTTAGCACCCGGTGAAGGTATCCCGTAGGGATAACTGCTCACTTGGGCTGATTACGGCTGGGGGCACCGTGTGTCTACATGCGTGTGACCTAAAATCTTCCAACAATGACTGTGGAAAGGATTTGGATCAGAACAGTTTGACGATAAATGAATCTGACGATCCGAATGACTCACGGGAGCAACACCTGGAAAGATTAACTGCTCCCCCAGAGTTTCGCCAATCGTTGGCATGTGAAGTTCGCGTACACGCATGTTCAGCGCTGGGTGACATCGTATGTAGAG